TTTGGATTTCTTCGGTGGGGGAGAATTCACATTTTCCACTGTTGGCTCTGCCGTTTGCTCTTGGGTTCAAAATGGTGGCACCAAGTTTCGTCCCCAGTGGCAATACGAGACAGAAAGGATAACTCTTCCTCATGGTTTCGTTGCAAGTGACCCAGTGATGCAGCCATTCTCTGAGTCTTCTGTTCCTCCGTGAGTTGATTTGGAACCCACTGCGCGCAGATTTTGCGGTACAGCAGGTGTTTTGTCACAATGGTGTGTATGGTACCGTGACTTATTCCCATCAAAAAACTAATTTCTTCCACAGTGATCGGTCGGTTTGCCCGGATATGACCATCCAATGCAGCAATAACATCAGGAGTGATGGCACGATAAGCCTGTCCTGGGCGAGCATCATCTTGCAGTGACACACATCCATCTCGGAATCTTTTATGCCACGCCAGCACATGCTAAAATGATATGCTGTGTTCGCCGTAAACAATAGACATGCTACAATGAATTTCTCGTCCTCCTACTCCTTCAGCAGTCAAAAAGCGCACTCCTCTTCGCTGTTCTTCTTTACCCGCCTCAATTACTGATGTTGGACGACCACACATAGCGCTAACCTTACTTCCAGCATAATAAACAAATGACTAGTGTGCAAGTGCACGTTGTCACTGTGTTTTCCTGAGTCCCCACCAGATGTTCATACCGTAAGCAAATTTCAGTGTTACCAACTTGCGCGCCGTGTGAGTTATACGTTGTGAGCCGTTTTCATTTGACTGCCCCTTATATTATTTAGTTGTGGTGTGGATAATGTGGTCTAACCCGGTGATTCTTATGGATATGTATTCGTACATAAATAACAGAAATGTCAGAGTTGTCCATCATGTCCTTAAGTAAGGTAATGCAGTGTACACACAAGCCTAGTAATAGACGTGTAATATACGTGGTATACAAAATTTCATAAAAGTCTGTCGCAGGGCCGAAAATATTTATGTAAATATTAATCAGTTCGATAACTAAAACAGTCCTTGAAAATTCATAAACTGAATGGAATTTGCAAACCATAATTTTATGCAATGAAAGTGTAGTTTATCGAGTTATTAACATTTGTTAACGAACTTGCAAATATGTATATGTAAACGTCCATATATTCCCTTGAAATGTACGAAGGTGTAAAATAAATTTACACAGAGTAATATTCATATAAGCCGGTCACGGTAGCCGAGCGGTCTAAGACATACACTCTCTTCGCTCACTCGGAAGCCGGGAACGTGGGTTCCAATCTCTCTCAGGGTATGGATGTTTGGTGTCTGTGTGTGTATGTGTGTGCGCGCGCGCGGTTTCTGAGTTTGTGTACAGGTAAAAGCCTTGCGACGAGCTGATCACCAACCCAAGGAGTCCCACCGAACGTCTACGATCTAGTAAACCGAAATGAAACGGAGAGTTTCGTGGAGGTAGACCAAGGCCCAAACTGAGGCTGTAGCGCCAAAAATATTCAAATAAACAGATTCTGTACTTACCCAGTAGCTGTGAATATTGAAAATACATGTACCAACCTCACATTTATAAAGAGAATTGTATCTTATTTATAGTTTGGTCGTTAAATAAGAAAATTCAACTCGATTGTAAGGGCTCTGACGATGGTGTATGATACAGTTACTGGGTTTTCGGACTTTGTCCATCGTCAGGTATTCTATAAAATAGAAAACACATCTTTTCGAAAACTGGATCTGTTTCTGTCCTCAGGTGAGGGGGGGAAGACACCTACTCTGTTGGGTCCCTTAGAAAGAGCTAACCTCCATCACTGGATTGAGTTATTGATGTTAGCTCCAAAAACCCAGGAATTCTGAACAAAACTCAAATCAGTGGCTTGTTCATAATAAAGCATTTTCGACGTGTTCTGCTCTTATGTAGACACATATCGAAGAGATCGATGTGATGCCGCAGAACCAGAATGACGACCCAGTCGATAATGGAATATTTTGGGAAGAAATTGGGTTAAATAAAGAAATACATCTAGTTTAGACGATTGGTGATACACAAGCCTGCTCAGTGAGGAAGACGGGTATTGAAAGATAAAAATCAAATAGTCCTGCAAAGTAATTTTAGTTGCTTCTTAACTGAATAGGAAAGCATGATAACAGGAACTCAGTATCTTAACAAAAGTGCAAAGTACACAGCATAAATGTTCTATTGATATAATTTAATAACTTATTTGGTAGAAACTTTGTCCCAAATGTACGTCGTTGCATGGATCAAACGAAAACCGCTGTAATGACAGAAACACACTCTCTGTTTGTTATGGATAAATCCGTTGTTGGCTAATGTCTGGGCAAAATATTATTTCTCATATGAAAATTAAAGGCGAGCAGTTTAATTAAGGGAGAGAATAAGCGAAAGTTACAGAGTCATTTTATTTTGAAGTCTCTGCTTCTGTTTTCCGAGAACAATGTGTGTCTGCGTCAACAAGAAGAGAGCAGCGCCAGACATGACAGCGCGTGCAGACTGACCTATTTCGTTTGAAGTATGGTTAATTCCCTTGAGTCAATTGATTTCAAGACAAAGCGCCACTTATAAAATTGTCGTTGTACACATTAACCTAGTTATCAAAACAGAGTAGGTTGTAATCTCGTATCTTCGTAAAATCTTCCGTTTGTTGCCGTTATTTAAGTTTTTACGGAAGTGAAGAAGTGGCGGATGGCATGACAGCTCTGCTTAATGCGTTTGTCCTAGATTCTCCTCTCTATATGCGACGGGCTACGGCTGGACGGCCAGAGTTAGATTTCCGGAAAATATAAGAGATTTTTCTTTATTTCATGGCTTCCAGACCGGATCTGGGGCTCACTCAGACTCCTGTCCAATGAGTACCAGGGTCTCTTTCCCAGGGGTAAAGCGGTTTGGGTGTGAAGTTGACCACTCACCCCATCTAATGCCGAGGTAAAGAATAGAGGAGCTGTACGTGTATGTTCACTCCCCTGACGAGCTCATGATGTGATGCTTAATTAAGGACAGGGACATCTTTACCTTTCATCAGCCCTACATCTGTTGTAGACAAGTAAAGTCAAACAACTTCTAATTGATTTTTCAAATATCTGTGGCGGCGGTTCTTTCATTACTTCAAAATTATGTTGCAAATTGTCCATTGAGGGATAATATTAAAATAGGACATCTTAATGGATTAATAGAAGAACGAAAGAGCATAAAAGAAAACGATAACCAGAATAGTATGCTTGATATCGTGATAAGACACGCGTAGACTCCCACAGGAGCGTCACAGAGAACAAGGATACAGATACGCTGCGCTGCACCCGACAAAAAAGTGCCTCAAAATACAGCAACAAGGAAACAATTAGACGTAACAACCATGCAGGTAGGAACGCATAAGGTAAATTTAAAGTAAATTCCGGGCTACAGAAATTAAATAAGAGTATGTATGTAATACCCATAATATAATTGCAGACCATAACAAGCTAGAAAAACGGGGCGTTACTGCGAGGGCCCCTGAACACTCCAAATAATACTCAAACTTTCAGTTTCAACAGAAGAAGCACAAGGACATAAAACATATCGATTCTAGACCTTAAACATTAGACAGTAACAAGATTTTAATGCAAATAATTGTAAATAAATATTTTATATACAAATTTCTAAGTAAACATTACGAACTTTGTAATAGTAGTTCCTGAACATGTTGATCTTACGTCTTCTCAAGATGGTCAGTTGACCGAAACGTGTAAAGGCCATACATATCTACAGATTGAATCACACTGGACGGTGTTAACTATTATTCTATAAAATTTGTTTACTGGTGTGACGGACCAGAATGGAGTTAAATTTTGATGTGTACGTGGGTATGAACCATGGGTTTGCAGATTAGAATGCCGCACCAGTGTTTCATTCGAACCCTCTCTCTTTAAGAACTAAGGAGAGTTACTGTTCCACGTCATCTCTCTTGCAATTTCTCAGCTCCAGAGTACTGTGGTCATAGCTTTCTCCATTGACATGATTCCGTGATGACTGAAGATATGTAGGCTGCACTGCGTGACTGTACAACCCGGAGTAGTGAATTTCAATTGGAAGAAATACCTTCAAGAGAACTTTGTTGAGAACATTGCACAAGGAGAATCTTAATAATTTTTATTCTTCTACGTATATTATTATGTTGATTAAATTGAGGAGAGTGAGACGGGCGTTGCATGTAGCATGAATGGGCTATATGGTTCAAGAATATAACATTTTATTCGGAAACCCCTGCTTAAACTGGAGTAAGATTAACCTTCAAAGAAGAGAATGTAGGGGATGCATATTCGATTCATCCAGCTCGAGAAGTTCAATAAGGTCAAGAGGCGGGTCCTTCTAAACACGGCATTGAATCTTGGGTGTAAGCCGGGATAGCGCAGTCGGTATAGCGACTGGCTGTGGGGTTGGCCGAACGAGGAGTCGGAGTTCGAGCCCGGTAGGG